ATTAAAAAAACAAACAAAAAATGAACAGAGCCTCGGACACCTGTAGAACAATAAACAAAAGATCTAACATTTATGTTATCGGAATCCCAGGAGAAAAATTTGAAATTAAAAAAATTTTTTAAATAATAATGGCAGAAAATTCCCTCATTACTACAGGGAACAATGATTTGAACAACAGACTTCTCACTTGAAACCACAGAGGCCAGAAGGAAGTGGCCTAACACTTTTTTATGTGTTGAAAGAACTGCCAACCCAGAATTCTACATCTAGTGAAAATACCCATCATGAAAGAGAGGGAAATAAAGACATTTTCAGAAAACTAAGATAGTTACCAGCAGACCTACCCTTAAAAAAATGGCCATTTTCTCCAAACAAAAGGAAATACAAGGAGGCTTGGAGTTGAGTAAAAATGAGGCAAAGCAATTAACAATCAACTCATATAAAAACAAATATAAATGGCTCCTAAGGAGATGATAACATCAAATACCTTAGAGAAATACTTATTTAAACCAGCTTTAAAAACAACAACAACCAACCCTGTAATTAGGCTGGCAAAGATTAAAGAGTTTGATATTATGTGGCTCTGCAAAGGGCATAGGGAAATTAACTTTCCTATATTCTAGTGGCAATGCCTACCAACATTACAAATGCATAACCCCTATAATCTGTTAATTCTATTTCTAGGAATTTATATTATCAACATTCACATACACGTAGAATGGTATAGAAAACTTGAGAATGGAAACTGATGGGCAGAAATGGAAAAAAGACTTTTCACTGACTATCCTCTTATGCTTTCTAAATGTTGAACAAAATCAATGTATTAAATTTTAAAACTCCCAAGTCTGACAACAATTGTTGTCACCCTGTTCTCCAAAAAACCCTACTTCCTGCCTAACCACTTAAAATCTATTTCAAAGTATCATTTATAAGCATATAGCCATCCTTAAGATAAAAGAACAACACTTTTTAACTCTTGGGCCACTTCTGGTTAGTTTATTTTAGATTATTTAGATTATGCAGTTTGCTTATCAATCACTATGTAAAAGAAATTCCCAACCCTGTTCACTGACCTTTGTTGGGAGGGGAGGTAGGATGTGGTGTAATACTACTGGGTACTGCTTTACTAGTATGTTGTTAAGGTGAAAAAACAAACTTCTAGAACATTTTACTTGTAAAAACATATGGTAAGAAAATGCTGCCTTACTAGTTTTTTGAGAGGTATAAATTTTATACCAATGAATTTCACGTGAAACCTTTATATTGAAGGAAATTTCAAGGCCATCATCAAAATAAGGTTTGAAATAAAGAAGAGAACTATACCTCAAATGAACCTCTTTTCATTTCAAAAATACTGGGTCTCCCCTCTAAACAGATTCGAAGTTTAACATCCCACTATTCTCCTTTACAAGTGCTATCACCATGGCTCTTAATTCCAGGATAAAGACACTGAAATGGGATCCTGTCACCATACAAATGAGTGTCTGATCTTTTCTACTGTCTCCTGAGTACAAGATTCACCAACTGCTTCCTCTACTGTGCTCTTCTTTCTGTACTGCCAGGTAATCTGTTTTCTACCACATATATACAAGATTTCTGCTCATATAACTATTTATTTATTGCCATGCTGCCCTAACTCAGCACTTGTGTTTCTATGTACTCATAATATATCATCAGCCCCAACTCATGCTGCATAGCAAAGGTGGACAGACCTCTCTTTAACAACTGCAGGAAACTCTGGTTAACTCTTGAAAAGCCAGGAAGTACCTTAATCAGTGTAGTGGTCTGTGTTCTATCCTACACTCTGCCCCTTGATAGCCTCTACAGGGTTGCAGTTTTGATTAGCCTCCTGTGTTCTCCTCTGCATCTGTTGGAAGGATCTTCCCCTTGACTCTGAACCTTCTCAGGCACATTCAAATAGCCACAAAAAGTAGAATTTCCAATCTCACAACAGCAAAGGGAAGGCCCAGGATGATTGCCCAGACTCACCAAGACCACTTACAGGTGGGCCCAGACAGTCATATTTCTTCAGAAGTCTTTTTGTTTTCTTTCAGGCAGTTAGAAAAAGAAAAAAAAAAGATTCGGTATTTATTTTTAAAGTGGGGTGTGTATCTCTCAAACAAGGTTTTCAATATGATGATGATGATGATGAACACTGCTGTGTTACACAAAGCTTTTTGACTATGTCCAATTTAAGATTGTAAGAAGGCCATCAAACTTATAAATTGGATGGAAGACACAGCTCTGCCTAAAAAAAAAAATTTTATTGATGCATGACAAAATCCATTCTGACCAATGTTCTGAATGGTAAGTGAAGGACTGTAGAGTAACAGGTGCCAAACTGTGTGACCTCAAACATAAAGATCTTTTCCTCTTTCTATAGTGTGATCCAGAACAGAGCAGGCATGGAAGGTACGACTCAAAACAAATCTGGCCTTTCGGTAACTCCTGTGCAGACAGTAACAAAGGGCCAAATCTTCCCCAACTGATGAAACTGATAAGGGCAAGATATACTTCCTTAGCATGAGTCTGAGGAACACACACTAGAACACTACATCAACTTTCAGCACAACTTCCTGGCCACAATGGCATGGGCAAAATTAGCATTTATTGCTTCAAGTGAAAATATATTATAAAAACATAATAATATACAGAGAGCGACATTCATTCACCTTCTCATCCTTTCAGCAAATATTCAAACACTGACCATTTAGTACCAAAAGAATCTTTACACCATATTTATTAGAGTCTATGATAACATTTATGGTTTAAGATGTAAGCTTTTTAATTATCTCTTCTAAATATGTAGACCACACAGCATCCTTAACTTTTATAAGCAGAGAATAGATCCTAACACAAGATCCTTGAAGACTATAAAACACAAGAAAAAAGCCAAAAAACAGTTAATTACAGAATAAAAGATGAATACTTTCTAGATGATGTGGAAAGAAATAATATCTTAAACCAAAATATTCCAATTGTACTGACAACACTTTGAAGAATTAAATAGCAGAAGATTCAGGGTCTAAAATATGCAAAGATTTAGATTGCTTTTTAGTTTCTATTTTTTTCAAAAAAAGGTAAGGTACTCAACGACACTTCATTCTTAATGAATCATCACAAACACAAGGCATACATTATAACTGCTGTTTGTAAATAAGGATAGATAGCCAGACTCTTGAACACAAGAAGTTAAACAGTCCCAGTATGAGCTGCAGCAATATTCCTGTGATGGTTTACAAGGTATATATTTGACATAAAAGAGAAGAAAGTGAAATCATTAGAATCAAAGTGGAATGCAGAGAAAGAAAATTAAAAATAAGCCTTCTCCAGGGAATTCCCTGGAGGTCCAGTGGTTAGGACTCGGCACTTTCACTGCTGTGGGTCCTGGTTCAATCCCTGATTGGGGAACTAAAGAAAAGCAAAATAAAACGTGCATATTACAGAGCACATCAGTATACCTAAAATTTGAGAACAGAATGTTCTACTTAGGGCAATTCTGAAAGGAATATTAAAGACTTTAATGAGTTAGCAACATGTAACAGAAAAAGCTCTAGATCTGGAGCCAGCAAACTTGGGCTTGAGGTCTAGTTAGTTCCCTGATGTGGTAAATACTAATCTCCTTGACTGTATCTGTAAAATGAGGAAAATAATATTGATGTTATACAGTTCTTGTGAGGATCAGAAAAGATTACAGAGACTCTCTTGCTAACCATGAATAACTAAGTACTGAGATTATTTATTATTCCCTGGACGATTAATAGAAAGATTAGGTCAATTCAATATTTTATTGCTTTCTACACAGATTTGAAGGTAATCTCACCCCATTACTTTTACAGTGTCAGGCTCAATATCTGTAATAAACAATAGCAGTTACATATTTCTTATATAATATAAAGACTTAAAATACTTAAAAGACCAAGTTCTACCATTTCAGATAATATATCAAACTACCAGTCGTGTTAACTTCAAGTGTTCTTGTCTAAGTAAAAGAAGTTTCTCAAACATGCCAGATGCTTCTGAATCTAAGCAGTGCATGAAGGGGAAATAATTTATTCCCATGAAGTTTATTAGTCTATGTTAATCTCTTCAACTGTCATCCTCCCCACACCGTCTCTTTCCCTAGAAGAATATTTATTTACCATGCTATTTAGACAACTACACTTTTTTTTTTTTTTTTTTGCGGTACGCGGGCCTCTCACTGTTGTGGCCTCTCCCGTTGCGGAGCACAGGCTCCGGACGCGCAGGCTCAGTGGCCATGGCTCATGGGCCCAGCCGCTCTGCGGCATGCGGGATCTTCCCGGACCGGGGCATGAACCCGTGTCCCCTGCATCGGCAGGCGGACTCTCAACCACTGCGCCACCAGGCAAGCCGTAGACAACTATACTTTTTAAAAAGCCCAAAAAATAAAGTGGAAGCAGATGGATGAATTACTGCAAATAATTCAAGGGAAGTTAAGCAGTTCCATGATAAATGAACAAAGTATGAAGTAAGATAAAACACATTTGAAAAACACAAAAATACATTTAAAAACACAAAAACTTCATATTTATATTCACTTTAGCGTAAAGATCGTGTCAACTAATTACAGTGTGTTTGTTTTGTGTGCGTAAGAGTTATCAGAAATATATACTTGCTTTTAGGGACTTCCCTGGTGTCACAGTGCTTAAGAATCTGCCTGCCAATGCAGGAGACACGGGTTCGAGCCCTGGTCCGGGAAGATCCCACATGCCGTAGAGCAACTAAGCCTGTGCACCACAACTACTAAGCCTGCGCTCTAGAGCCCGCGAGCCACAACTACTGAAGCCCGTGCGCCTAGAGCCCGTTCTGCAACAAGAGGAGCCACCGCAATGAGAGGCCCGCGCAACCCAACGAAGAGTAGGCCCCCTGCTAGCTGCAACTAGAGAAAGCCCACGCAGCAACGAAGATGCAACACAGCCAAATAAATAAATAAACAAACAAACAGATTTTAAGAAAGAGAAATATATACTTGTTTTTACCTTTAGATTTGGGAATTAGCTCTCCACAACTGAGTATCCGCACCTCAGCAAATGGTTTGCTAGCTGCATCTGTTTTCTGGTTTTCTATCTCTCTCACAACTTCTTGACCAGAAATCACTTGCCCAAAAACAACATGATGCCTAAAGAGTCAAGTAAAGATGACTAAATAAAAGCTTCTTATTTTAATATTAATTTAAAGTAGGTTGTAAAATAAATTAAAATAATCTTTACCCATCTAAATGAGGAGTTGGTTTTGTTGTTCTTTTGGAAGTCATCAGATAGAAGAATAAAAACAAAGTCAGAGAAAAACAAAGTTAGCATCTCTAAAAAGGAAAAAAAAATAACTGCATTGGAAACAAAGTAGCAAACAAAGAAATCATATATATGCTATCTTAACATAATAGAATCTTATTTACCTTAACCTTAAATAGAATCAAATGCAAAATGCTTTCGACAATGCATTTTCAAAAACTTGTTCTGAAATACCTATACACTATTGAAAACTTACATGAAATTAAAGTTCACATTTTGGTGTTACTTCTGTCCATCCATGTTCTTGCATGTAACTGGGTTCTTATTGAATATCCACGGTTGTACAGTATTCTACTGTCTGGGCATATCATAATTTATCAAACCATTTCACCAGTTTATGGGTTTAACAACAGTGTTTTTCAATCTTAACATTTTCAACAGTTAAAGCCCAGGTCATATTCTGATGTCCTCATACATGTTCTGTTGGACCTGAACAGAAATGGTCCATGTAGCGTTTATAAATTAGCTGCCAAGACTTAAAAATTTGGATACTTCTATATAAAAATCCAGATTCCAGGCCTTTTTGAAAACATGGAAAGACATGGCACCTGGCATGTGGCAATAATTGGTCAGGCTGAGTATCCCTGCCTTCTCTAATACAGAGATTAATCATTAAGTTTCTTGTCCCAGCAGCCTTTACTCCCTCATATTACTTGCCTAAGACCAATGCGTATTTGAGTTTGTTATCCCTAACATAAAGTAAACTTCACACTGAAGAAAGATATCTGCATTAAAATTTGGACAAAACCTAAAATTAGCAAAAAGTAATTTTTAAAAGTCCTTCTTTTCTCCACATCAACCTTAAAGCTTTGTAGCTAAGAAAGCTGCTATCTGAGTAGCTATGAAGACACACTGGTACAACAGACTGAATATGGGCATTGTACAAGATTTGTCATTTTAAAAATCTTATCAAAAAATGCATTAGAAATTTGGAAGAAGGAACACAATTTAAGCTAACTTTTGATTAAAACACACACTAAAAAAAATTCTAACACATACATGTATTTTTAAAAGTTCACCGTATTTTAAAAACTAATAACCTGTTAATGTTTTCTCACTGTAACAGCTATGATCACCTGAACTTGCTAAAACCACCTAGAAATGTAAAAACCTAGGTATACACTATATATGTATTTGTGTTACATTTAGTGTATATAATTTGCATCAAGATACAGTCAATCCTCACTTTACAGATTACGTATTTGTCCACTGGCTTGCTCACTAGAATTTATTTGTAACCCCTAAACCAATACTTGCATTGCTTTCATGGTCACTCTCAGATTGGTGAGAAAGTGTTGATAAGAATGGAAAAACTAGAACTCTTTGTATAATGCTGGTGGGAATGTGAAATGATGTAGCCATTGTGGAAAACAGTTTGGTGGTTCCTCAAAGAGCTAACCATAGAACTACCATATGATCCAGAAATTCTATTCCTAGGTATCTATCCAAAAGAACTGAAAACAGGGAAACAAATATATATGACAATGTTCACTGCAGCATTATTCACAATAGCCAAAAAGTGAAAACAACCCAAATGCCCACTAACAAATGAATATGGATAAACAAAATGTGGTATGTATATATAATGGAATGATATTCAATCATAAAAAGGAATGAAGTTCTGATACATGCTATAAAACATGGATGAACCTTGAAAACATGCTAAGTGAAATAAGTTAGACACAAAAGGACAAATATTGTATGATTCCACTTACATATATAGAATAGGCAAATTCATAGAGACAGAAAGTAGAATAAAGGTTACCAGGGGCTGAGGGAAAGGGAAAATGGCTACTCTCTGGAATGATGAAATAGTTTTGGAAATAGTGGTGGTAGCTGCAGAGCACTGTGAATATAATTAATACCAGTGGGGTATGCAGTTAACAAATGGTTAAAATGGCAAATTTTATATTATATAATTAATATAAAACAATAAAATAAAACATTTAAAAAAAGATTAAAAACTGAAGTTGTTTTCTTTAAAAAAAACAGAACACAGAAGTAGTAAAGAATAGTTATCTAGAAGTGGAAAGAGGTCAAGAGAAACCAACAATTGGAAGAGTCTGAGAATATATATGAAGGGTTATTTGAATTTAACATATGGGTTTTGGTAAGCACAGAAGGGATTTTATTTTAAAAAGTGAAAATAAATGATAACACTCAGTGTTGCTGAGGATCTGGTGAAACTGGCACTTACATACTGTTGCTCTAGAGTAAACTACACACTTCCTTTTGGAAGTCAATGTAGCAATATATATGGATAGCCTTAAAAATATGTAAACATTTCACTAAGTAAAATTCTAGCAACTTACATAAAAGAATTAAAAAATACATCAAACAATAGATACAACAACGTTCACTGCAGCAGTTTGAAAACAAGAAGCAAACCAAATGTTCAAAACTAAGATTAAATAAATAAAACCACAGTACATTCAAACAATGGATTAACATGTTAATTCATATTTAGTGATGTACAAAGAAATTTATATTACATCCAAAAGTTGATTACAGACTATATGCAACTATCTACCTGTATTTTTATTGCATGTAAAGATGCTCTGGGGATAGGATTGTTTTTCTTCTTTTAATCTGTGTGTTCTAATTTTCCTACAACAAATGTGATACAAGTTGTTTTCATTTAAAAATCAGAAACACCTGTATATAGGCAATTGGCTGAATAAACTGCAGTATATACACACAACAGACTACTATACATCTGTGGGGAAAAAAAATGAGAAAGATCTCTATGAACTGATGTGCAGTGATTTCTAGGTTATATCATTAAGTGAAAAGAAAAAAACATATACAGTATGCTATCTATTGTGTAAGAAAAAAGGGAAAATAAGAAAAAAATATATATCTGTGCTTATGTTTGTAAAAAGATATACAGAAAAATAAACCAGAAACTAATGAGGTTGGTTACTAATATGGATAGGTGGTGGAAAAAAAAAAGGTAAAAAAATGGGGGAATGGGAATGGAATGAAGAGTTAGGTGGGAGTGATACTTCAGAAGTATTCTCTTTGCTTTGACTCTTGGAATCATGTTAATGTTTTAAAAGCTTAAAAAAAAAAGGCAAGAAATAAATCAACGTGAGAGGGAGAACAAATGAAATATAATCGGAAATGAATTTAACATATGTTGAGTCACAAAACCACACAAAATTTACACTAAAAAGTACTAATCCAAGTCATTTTTAAACATGATAATTTAACTACATACCCTCACTGTAAAAACAAAAATTGCTATAAATACATAGTGAACTCTAGTTAGTAGGTTACTCTTCACAGTGGTATAGGATGGCAATTTTAAAATATAGGATTCAACAAGTGAGTAGAAATTTTGAACACACTCGGAGGGAGATTTCTCACTGTTGAAGAAGGGAGTTACAAATGTGGAACAGAAAACACAAGAATAATCCACATGATGCTGACAGATTAAGTTCTTCTGAGACCAGAAGAGTTTACAGTTACTGAAGAGGAGAGCAAATCTTTACCCATGGGACATGATAAAAAGTATTAATTGCTGACAAGAGCCCTGGTAACAATTTTTTTGTAGTCAGAATTGGAAAACATTAGCACTATTGACTTTGGGTTACAAATAAATTTAGTGAGTAGGCAAATTCACAAATACAGAATCTTTGAATAATGAGGAACAACTGTATTTTACTCTTTATAATTAAGTAATTTACGAAGAGATACTCAATGCAAACATCCTGTTCCTTGTTAAACTTACCCTATAAATCTACCATCCATAGGTAATTCTTTCCTGAATCAATGTTACTGAGATGACTGCAAAACAGGGACATTTCTAACTCTATAATTCCTTTTACATTTATTAGTTGCATTCTACTAAGGAACAGTTTTTCTTTCTCCCTTGTTATTTATTCATTTATTATTTATATCTGAATGGACTCCTGGATTTCCATTTTATTTGATAATATCATTATTTATTTTCAAGATAATCAATGCTCAACTTGTCCTAATTTGGCCAGGCGGAATGCCACCCCTTCAAGCTGGCTCCTGAGTCCTCTTGACAAAAGTCTTCATCTTTTGAAAACTTTAGCAGTACAGTTCAACTCCCCTTTCAACAATTCTTTGTTCTTCCTCCTTCAAAAATTCACTCCCTCATACGTCCCTCTCCTATTTATTAGTGATCAGTGGCAGGCACACAGAGAAACGACACACCAAAAAAGTGATATTTTAAATCATCAGATCATAAATTCTTACATGAAGAACTGTGAGCCGTTTGTATCCTTCCCTCTGTTGGCCATTGACAAGAGAAATTCTTTGTTGTGTTTAACAGCAAAACTCTCATCTATAGAGAAGCAAAGTTTTCAGTTATAGGTATAACTCCCCCCCAAAATTCATTTTCATTCTTCTTCATATCTTGTGTTCATATCATGTGCTCTTTAGTGTCAGACAAAATTCAGATAAAAGGTTAAAATAAGAGAAATCCAATATTAACCAATTTCCTCCATCTTTTCAGATTAAAATATTTCTAATTTTCAATCCCTTGCTATAAAATCCAAATACTTTATCAACCCCCTTTCAATATTATTCTTAGCACAGAGAGGCACTCATTAAACTTAATATCTGCCATGGTAGAAAGAGCAGATTGCCTTCGAATCTTGGATTAGAATTGGAAAAAAGCAGGTGGAACGTGAAACAAAATTTCACTGACTCCCAAAAGTGAAAGATGGGAAATATGAAATTAATTCCACAATCACATGTTTATAGTCTTTCAAATGATCTTCACATTAATAAAAAATTCCAGACAGAAAACTTAAATTTGGGAAAAACATTACAGCCAAATTCAGAATATCGAAGATTAAAAAAAAAATCTTCATAGAAAAATGGATGCACAAAAATGTTGATATTGTCACTAAGAAATATAGCTGAATCTCTTTTAATAAAGATTAAGATCAAGCTATGGAAGTTCCTATTCTAGCACTACAATTCTAAAAGTTTATTACAGATCACTGAAACCCTTCAAGTAATATAATGTACGAATGTACTAATCACAAAAAAATCCTACCTTTATAAAAAGTCTATCACATAACATTTTTCACAAGAAAATTAACTTCGTTTAGTTGAAGGTAGTTGGATATTAGTATATCAATAATCTTATTGATTCAAGAAAGAAAAATCAATGAATACTAGAAAACATTAAAAACAATTTAAACATAAGCATTTTTACCTTCAAAAAATCCTCCATAAATGGATTCCCCTCCTCGTCCATTTCCTAAGAATGAAAAAACATGGGACTCTTAGAACTGGTAAGTCAGTAATCTCCTCGAAGGTCCTACCTAAACACAATGCTTCTTACAAAGTAGGTACTTGAATGACTTTGAATCAAGAATACTCAAACGTTCACAGCAAATTATAAGACCTTAACTTAAAAGTCAATACTGACAAGATCCCAAATTACTTTCTCTCCTCTATGATACAACAGTATGAGTGTAACAAAGTTTATTAAAATCTGTAGAAGAAACAATGTTCAGATCCTAATGATTATGTAGGTCTTTTAACAGAAATTACTAGTAGCTTCTCAAAGTGTCTTTAAAAACACAGTTTCAATGTTTTTACAATAATAGAGGTAAAAACCATACTGTAGTAAAGGATTACTGGCTGTGACAAAATCAAACATGAACACTGATAGGCTACGAAGAGATGAATAGTGTTTTGTTTTTAATCCAGAAGCAAATTTCTGAAATTAATTCATGTATCAAACATGAAATTTTTTCCTATGTGTTTCCTCCTTTTTATCTATTTCTATGAGTACTTCTAATTTTTTTTTTTTTGGCCACGCCAGGCAGCTTGCAGGATCTCAGTTCCCCAACCAGGGATTGAACCCAGGCCCTCGGCATTGAAAGCTCCGTGTCCCAACCACTGGACCACCAGGGAATTCCCAGTACTTCTAATTGTCTGACCAAAGATTAAGTGGGCTGAGAAGAAAACTGGCCTAGTACTTCTAGAGACTTGTCTAACTTTGAGATCCATGTATTTAACAAAGAATATAAATATATGATTTTCTTTGTGGGAATCAAAGTCTTACCTTCACTGAAGTCACCACCTTGAACCATAAAATCTTTGACAACTCTGTGAAAGAGACAACTTTTATAATGTAATGGCTTCTGAGTTGATTTCCCTGTCCCCTTTTCACCTACAAGGAAGAAAAATTAGTAGGCTGTTAAGTAGAAAAGAAATTAAGGAAGTAGTATTAAAGCAAAATTCATGATGAAATCACAAGAAAAAAATTTTTCACTACTTCTTTAATTTTGTATCTATATGAGATTATGGATGTTCACTAAACTTTCTGTGATAATCACTTTATAATGCAAATAAATCAAATCATTATGCTGTACACCTTAAACTTATACAGCAGTATATGTCAATTACATCAATAAAACTAGAAGAAAAATTTAAATAAAATAAATAAAACACTTAAAAGTTAAAAAAAAATTAATGATGAAAGCTTTTGCCCAGTAAAATACACCTCTCTTGACCTATACAGACTTCTTTAAATTACAGAATTTTAACTTCCCTCAGGAATTTTTTAAAAATTCATTTAAAAAGCACCCATGCTTTTCTACTGAATGTAGAAATCAATCTCAGATACAATCCCATTACAATTAATATGTATAAGAATTACTTTCATGTCTAGTAAATGTTGCATAGTCAGCATGCTGAGAAGGAAATAATATGCCTGAAAAAATCTAAAACATGTTAAATTAAAAATCAAAGCAAACTGAAATCAAATGGGACTACTATTAGGGCAAGTGAAAATGTCAACAAACCTGTACAAAGACAACGAAAGTTCTCGCATGTTTTGGGGCACACATCGGAAAATAATTCAAAGACAACTCTTCCAGCTAAAAAAGAAGGTAGTTGGTTTAAATTTCTTTACTAACTTAAAATATTAAGTACTTATATATAAATGTTAAATAGGGACATTAATTTCCTTACCAGGTTGATTATTAATGGCGATGTCAAAAAAACATCGAGGACGCTGAACCTTTATTCCCATGGCTTCAATACTTCAATCTATGAGTAAAATACAGTTTCAGGCAAACAGACGAAAACAGCAAAGATTTTTCATACATTTCTGAAAACAAAACAAAACTCTGTGGAGCATAAATGAAAAATGTAGTCTGAATTTATTTTATTATTTATTTCCGTGACATAAATCACATGAATTATTCTTTTCTTTGAGAGATTAGATTGCATCTTGTGAGGCAATCAGAAAAGACATTATAGGTCTAGCCATTATATAACACAATTTCTATTTTAACAACCAAATATAGATTGCCACCTCAAACAGAAAATTGTATTAAGTCTGTATGATTAGTGAACTAAGCAGAAGATTACCTTTAAATAGAGAAAAATCAAGGACAAGCTGATCCAATCTTTTTGCACCTAGAAAACAAAATAAATTTTGATTAAAATGGTGGACTTTTTAAAAGAAAAACATTCAAATTCCCCAAAAATGCCAAAAATAATTCCCCAAGGAAGAAAGTGGGATACTTTAGTAATAGTAATATATGGTAGATTTACATTCTGAGTAAAAATACATTACATTTTACATATAAAGCTATTTTTTGATCATAAACAATAGCCTTTACTGATACACTAGTGTAGACACAAAAAATATCAGTAAGTGAGATACTCTATGTAAGTTTTATCTACATAGCAGGTGGCTATTAGTTAAGACATTTTTTTTTTTTTTTTTGCGGTACACGGGCCTCTCACTGTTGTGGCCTCTCCCGTTGCAGAGCACAGGCTCCGGACGCGCAGGCTCGGCGGCCATGGCTCACAGGCCCAGCCGCTCCGCGGCATGTGGGATCTTCCCGGACCAGGGCACGAACCCGTGTCCCCTGCATCGGCAGGCGGACTCTCAACCACTGCGCCACCAGGGAAGCCCCAAGACATTCTTTTGATAGGCGTTTATTTTAAGGACTTAGAATGTTTGAATTGTAATACTTGGTGGAGAATGACAGGGTAAGGTGAAAAGCAGAAGAAACAAAATAGCATCCAAAATGGCGCACTATAAAAATAACAGTTTCATCTGTTTAGAACAGAGACTAACTGAAATGTTTATGCGTTTCTGAAAATTATAGTATCTAGGCTGGTAGCTCAGTAAGCAGTGAATGATATTTTAAATCCAGTGAAATTTTTATTGAGACAATTTTAGATTCAGTTATAGGAAATAATACATAAATACATGTTTCCCCAATGGTAACATTTTACAAAACTATGGTATAATAGCACAACTGTAGCATAAAAACATAACAATGCTTATACACTTCACATTTCCCCAGTTCTACCTGTACTCATTTGTGTGTGTATTTATTTAATTCTACACAATTTTATCACACATATAGGTTCATATAACTACCACCATTCCTATCAATTTTACACATACCACAAACCACAAGTCAGAATACTCAACAATAAAAGCATGGAAGACTTTGCCCAAATTACCAACAATTTGAAAAATACAAATTCTATGTATTTATTCTTTATTGCATGGAAAGGGGGGGAAATACCATTTTCTCACAACTTCCTCCATTTTTTATTTCTAAAAGATACAATATATATACTAAAAATTTGTTTCACATGAAATAAAGCAAAAAAGATGCCTTTCAATCCTCCAGGAGACTACAGACATAGACTTCCTGAAAACAATAAAATAAAACAAAACTTAGTAATTTTAAAATCTTGCCAAGTTTGCTGCATTAAGTTTTTTTGTATAGAATTTCAACTCATGCACATTTGAAGTTGAGAATACACTGAATCCATAAATCTGAGGAAACTATCCTATCTTAAAGAGAAATATTAAATTACTACTTAGTACCTGATTATCTTTTATCTTCTAAATAACTTTTAAAGGCCTTCTTAAATTCTCTACTTTTGAGGGTAGAAGAAGAGAAGAGGAAGTTTAGTGATTTATTTATTTTCCTCCAAAAAAAACCTTCTAAAAGTTATTTGTTTAGCCACATATCTCAGGTAGAGGTTTTTATTCTTACAAAATGAGTATAGTATAGATAGCACTGCCCAAAACATATTGAATTGTTTACAGTTATAGTTGATTTCCTATTTACTATGTTCTTGAAAACAAACTCCAAATGTGTGACACACACACATCCACAGAGGGAGTATTATTCAGTCACAAAAAAGAAAAAAATCCTCCCACTTGTGACAACATGGATGGGCCTTGGGGGCATTATGTTAAGTGAAATAAGTCAGACAGAGAAAGACAAATACTGTACAATCTCACTTACACATGGAATCTTAAAAAAAATCCAAAACCTGAACATATAAAGTACTGAGAATGTAATGTACAGCATGGCTAGTAATATCGTGCTGCATATTTGAAAGTTGCTAAATAGACAATCTTCTCATCACAAGAAAAAAAATTTTGTTAAGTATGTGAGGTGATGAATGTTAACTAGACTTACTGTGATCATTTTGCAATGTATACATTTAATAAGTGAGCATGCTGTACATCTGAAACAAATATAAAGTTATATGTCAATTACATCTTAAAAAAAAAAGGATTTACACCAAAATATTAACATTGATAATACCTGAGCCATGAATTTAAGGGTAATATTTATGTATTTCTGTTTTCCAAATTTTCTTCAACAAACAGGTACTAATTTTATAAGCAGGAAAAATATTTTTAAAGAAATACTAATAAAATGAGATAATTTTCTGCCTATTAAAATAGCAAAGATATTTTAAAAGAATAATTCCCAATACAGTAAGCAACTCCTCTGGAAACATATGTGAACCTCTTAAGTTTTTATACCTTAAACTGGTTTATACCTTAAAAAATCCAATTGCTAGGAATCTACTGTAAGGAACTATCTTAAATTTAGAAAGCCTTCATGTATAATAAAGTTGGCCATCTTAGTGCTCCTTTCAGTAATATACTATCACAAGTAATCTATTCAATATTATGACAAATGGTTACATTATGGTCTCTAGTTGAACAAAATATCATAGTTATGGAAGCAATGCTTACAAAGATTAATAATTTGGAAAATGCTCATAATTTGTTAAAAATAATCAAGATATAAAACAGTATATGCAATATTATTATAATAATAATTATAAACTACTCCTAACCCTGAAATTCAAAGATTTACAAAAAGAAAAAAAAAAATTGAAAGGAGGACTTCCCTGGCGGCGCAGTGGTTCAGAATCCGCCTGCCAATGCAGGGGACATGGGTTCGAGCTCTGGTCCGGGAAGATCCTACATGCTGTGGAACAACTAAGCCCGTGAACCACAACTACTGAGCCTAAGCTCTAGAAGCCATGAGCCACAACTTCTGAAGCCCGCGCACCCAGAGCCTGTGCTCCGCAACGAGAAGCCACCGCAAAATGAGAAGCCTGCGCAGCACATCAAAGGGTAGCCCCCACTTGCTGCAACTAGAGAAAAGCCCGTGCACAGCAAGGAAGACCCAACGCAGCCAAAAAAAAAAAAAAGGAAGATTGAAAGGAAATAATCACTACGGTGTTTGGTTTTAAGACTGGAGAGTGTTTCTGCCTCACTGTACTTCTTTCTACTTTCTTTAACAAACATAGCTGCTGTTATAAATAAAAAATTCATAATAGAATAGAAAATGTACATATAATTTTCTAAGATTATAATATACATGTCTGTGTGTGGTTATAATATATATTTAGGTTATACCATGTGGGGATACTGTACTTTTCATAGAAGTAGATTTAAATGGTTGCTTGAAATAACAAATCAAATATGCCTTAAGTTTAAGAAAGATGAAAGACAGCATATTATTATTAAAAGCACTGTACAAATATCTTGAGTATGTAAATGTTCTAATATTAGTAGCTAATGAAGAACAATGGTGACACAAAAGATGGCTCAATGCTATGTCTCTAACATTACTGAAATCAAATTTTATCTAATCAGAAACAGGACACAGTATTTCCTCTTTATTATTTCCTGGTATTACAATATCTAAAATCAAACACAAGACAAATATCTGGTCAATTTTTCTTTCTTTTTTTTTTTCAAGAAAGAGTAAAGAGAAAATACTGAGAGATATCAAAAATACAATTCAGGGAAAAAAGTCAAGCCTATGCAATTTTCAAGTCTATGCAATTTTCAATAAAATAAGTCATGAATTTCCTAAGGATAGTACATAAAGACAGCTTTCAGAGCAGTAGTCTGCAGGCAAACTGTTCACTGCAAAGTTGTTTAATCTAAATGAGTTGCAGCTGTTTTATAAAATGCAGATATAAATTTTTCTTTAAAAAAAAATCACCATATGTAGCAACATGCCCCATTCCTGTACAGCAATCAGCATAGTGTGCCCCTTCAGATGAGGTATATATGTTCCAGTTCGACCTAGTTTCCACTATTGCATGTTAGCCATTACCATTTATCATCTACTTGTCCTCTTGCATTCACCTCACCTGCCTGACTCTCTAAGTATTTCATACTTAATATCATCTACTTTATTTATAATGAAAATACTTTTAAAGATAATCAGCAAAGTTAATAAGCTCACTGAAAAAAGAGTACACAAAAATGCATAAAATCCTGACTTTTAACACTTTTATGTATATTCTTCCACTTTCTTCTAACCAGATAGAATTACAATAAGTTGTTTTAAATGTTTATCAACACTATCAGTCATTTTTGTGTGTCAACAATATATAATGTAACAAAATTTCAAAATATTAAATGCTAGGATGTATAAACTTCTGCAACAAATGTATTTCATAAAAATATCAGAGATGTAACAAATTCATAAGTAAAAAGTTTAATCTTGTAGTTTCATACATAAAATAATTTCCATATTCACCCTAAAGTAACATGAAGGATTGGAGGGGGGGCAGGAGAAGGACACAGGCAACTAATTATTAAAATATATAGTAAAGAACACGGTATTTGTAATTAGGCAATAAATAATGCAGTGACTTTATTACATTCAAAGAATTACCTGGAAATTTCACACAGTATGAGGGAGTCAGCATAGCATTTGGTCTTGAAAAAGGAGACAGTAAATACTTTTAACTATTAAGATGACAAGCGGGTCTTTGACATTTCTGATTCCCTTGGCTAATTCCTAAGTGCCCTTAAAAATTTAACATAGCCAAAGTACACTCTGGGAATTTCACCCCAACTCTCTAAAGTTTAAATGATTCTCATTTGTTCAATTTTATTTTCATTATCATAAACTTGTCTGTAAACTCCTTGAACTCAGATCCTTTATATCTTCAACACCAAGCATAATGTCTGGCCCAGGACTACATTACCAGAGAATGCGAGTTAAAGCATGAGCAGAAGCTGACTCTTACTCAGTACCTTTTCTCCCATATGTACTGCTTCTCACCTGGGGTATCGCTAATACGTATCTGTAGTTAGTAAATCTTCTCGGCCTATTCCACAGTTGAAATAGAGCCTGTTTTCTAGATCTGCCTTCTAGGGCTGCATTCTATTAAGTGTCTATTTTCTTTTCTTTTTCTTTAAACAGAATCCGCTATAAGAGAGAACATCTTCAGTTCAAAACCAAGAAACAAAGATGGGAAGTTCTCATCTGCTTAAGTTTAATAAAAAGGTAACAATTTTCATATAAGTCTTCCACCTCTAAGTGCAATCATATTAAGTTTAACTAAAACTATAGCAGATCTTGAAGATTACTTTCAAAGATGGCAATCTAACATTCACATTTTACATTCATTCTTTACCCTACCTTAATGTAATTCACAGAGATCAAATGAGAAATAAAAATGGATTGCTTAGGGCTTCCCTGGTGGCGCAGTGGTTGGGAGTCCGCCTGCCGATGCAGGGGACACGCGTTCGTGACCCGATCCGGGAAGATCCCACATGCCACAGAGCGGCTGGGCCTGTGAGCCATGGCCACTGAGCCTGAGCGTCTGGAGCCTGTGCTCCGCAACGGGAGAGGCCACAACAGTGAAAGGCCCACGTACAGAAAAAAAAAAAAAAAAAAAAAAGGATTGCTTAAAAAACATATAAATACGTTTACGAATGCCATATTGCTAGCGAATTAAGTACAAACAAGTTAACGTTCTGAGGTGTCAGAAAAAGGCAACTATGATCTTCTGCACAGTTCCCCTTCCCTTAGTGTCTCTGACAGTCACAAACCTCGGCCCTGGTAAAAACATAATTAACAGTGTATAGGCACTTACTAAATTCTTAAATCCTTCAGAAAACTTAAAGAGAAAAGCTGTAATGTTGCCAAGTTCGGTGTTAAATAACTTTTTGCACATACGATCCGAGAGACATAAAAACATAGTACAACTATGTTAGTACCAAACTAAAAAGCATATACTAACTGGGAAATCTCTCCTAATATTAATATTTTACCTGCAATTATCTAAACTCTTATAATGATAAATTTATCCCACTGTCTTCAGAGATAGAATCACACCATACTAGCAATGTTATTCAATCCAGTAACTCCTAAATAAAAAATTACACACTTTTGAAGTTTGAAGGAAATAGATAATCTAGTCCAATCTTCTGATTTTATACACTGACAACAAGAGGATTAGAGAGCTGAAGTGACTGGCTCAAAGTCACAAGCAGAAAAAAAAGCAAGAGTTTTCTGGTTAAGACTACAGCTTCACTGTAGAAACTAGCTTATTCACAAATATTCCAGATAATGGCTTACATAATTTTACTTTTCGCCATATGACCACAATGCAATGATTTAATTATGAATAAACCTTAAGCTAAACTTTATGCACAATTAACAGTAGCTTAATATATAAACCACCAGGCTTCATGCAAGTTAAAAATCAGTAAGTTAAGGAATCATTCATGTTTTAAAAATAACCATTTTAATACCAAAAATTGATATCTATATTTATAAGTATGATGTTTTTAAATTTCAAGACAAGTTGGTAATCATTTTAAGCCACTACTCAAACTAAAACAAAGTGCAAAAGATTTCCTGTCTGGCACTAAAAGTACACAATCCCAGTTACAGCAGTTTTCTCTGAGTATTTATAATACTGCCTGTAGTAAATTTCAAGATGCAAGATTTGCCTTATGGAAATAAAAATATACTGAGTTCTTATGGAGACCATATATGCATTAAACCAGGTCAAAACTATTGACACTTAATCAAATGAAAACTGAAACTTGGTGCTAATGTTAAAGAAAAAAAAAGAACAATACCACTAAATAGCAGTGAGATTTGCAACAAACTCTTCAACTCACTTGAATTAATTATCTATGGATTCCAACTACACAGAACAAGACACCTTAGTACATCAGGATACAGAAAATAAATACATTATAATTCTGTTGAAATATCCTACAAATAAAACAATGGAAAACATCAACATGTATTTCTTAAAAGAGCAACATTTGAAGAATTAATTGTAGATGGTGTCCTGATAACTAATAGAAATAGTTCATCCTACTATGAAGGCTACCAATTTCCCTTTGCATAGAGAATGGATGCTGCCTGATAGGAAATCTAATTTAAAATATGCAAAATATCAAAAGGACAAAGACTTTACTTAGAGGCCACCGATACTGCAAGACCACAATAACAAGCACGAAAAATCAAAGGCCTTTAACAAGTCACAATAAACGTAATGTATGCTCTTCACTTCACTCATTCGAGAACTGCGGAGTTCTTTTACACAGAATTTTAGCAACCCTGAATATTTATGTTTGAAGCCCACACCTGACGATAGTCTGAAATCAAATATCATTTTATAGATGAAATAAAACTGAGGTTCAGAAAGATGGCTGGGCCAGAAACAAATCCAAAGTTTCTGACCTAGGAAGTTTGTATATTTGTACACCCCTGACAACAGGGGGAGACAAGAGCCTGCAAAGACAAAAACCTTAAAAAGGTAAACAAAGTTAAAAAACAAAACGAAAAAAGCACAGAATCCTACTACAAGACAAGACCCATTAGGATCTCAGGACACCAACAATCCTGAATCATAAATTAGAAAACGTTAATGTAAAATGAGCTCTGTTTAAAACCGAAGTATGTAATTTCTCATAGAAATAATCCCATCTCAAATGGTTAAACTAAAAAAAGGAGGAGCGGAAGATAAAATGGGTAAATTTTCAGATGCATAAAAAATATGAATGAGAGAAACAGCCATTCTAGATATCTGTGCCTTTTCTGGATTTTATACCTCGATTTCAGAAAATGTTTACACACCCCCTCTCCATCGTCTATACAAACCAGGAAATTACTGGCCATTCTTTGCCAAACGGTGATCCAAAGACTCACATACTTTTCTATCTGGTTTTAAGCTACTGAAAATTAACGTAACCCCTAATTTCCAAAACAATTGTTCCTTGGTTGTATTTCTGATCACCATTGCAAAAACTTGGTCCTGCATAAAGTACTGTTGTGGCAAGAAATTAAAATCAATGCACAAAATGGTGATTTCGTAACATTTCCAAAACGACTGGGAGTTTTCCATTCCCGCAGACCTCGATTCAACACCTTAAAAGACTAAAGACGAAGCAAATTCGCACACTTCCCCCAAGGCATATGGAGCTCCGATGCCATCACCCTCCTCCAAAACAGTAACTATCTCCTAAAAGGCCTGCACTGCTCACAGCTCCTCGGAACCGTGGGAGAACTTGGAGTCAGCTCTGGGATGAGAAGGGAAGAGCCTGGATTTGAGTTTCAGGAGAACTAAGTGGCCTGTGTCACTTCACCACGCACGATAACCGGCTGTGAGAGGAAAAGGTCGGAGTAGGGGGAAAGCCTAGCCTAATCTTAAACCCTGAGATCCTCGCTCCTCGCCTGCCACTCTCCAACCCTAATCTGACAGGACGGCAGGTAACGCATCCCACTTCCCCACCTATCCTCCCACCTACCCCGCATTCGTGCTTAGTCTTACGATTTTGAAGCATCAAAATCACCCCGGCTCCCTAGAGTTCAGGCCACCATCGCTGCCGCCATATTACAGCTTGTGCGGCAAAATGCGTCAGGGAGGGAGGTGTGCGCCCGAGTGGAGAGGGCGGGGGCGGGCAGGGGGAAGGCCGTTTCCCAGGCCCGTGAGGCACGGTTAGAAGGCCTCTGCAGCCGCAAGAGCTGCAAAGCTAGCGTCACGATCTTTGGGGGCCGCCTCTGGCACCTGGCAGCCCCGATACCTCGAGGGGAAGACGGTAAAGTCGGTCTGGGCCTATCGCGTCGGCTCCGCCCCTCTCCTCGGGCCCTTCCCGCTCTTGTACCCCGGCACTGCTGCAAAGGACGCCACCGAAACAACACGGGCCCCGCGCCACCTACTTGCACTAGTACACTCTCCTCTTCCCGGGGTCCAGTCCTTTAAATCGCTTCAAATCTACCGCCGCCAGAAAAGGCGCTAAGGCCAATGACCGCCTCCCTCCCCCCAGTCCCGGCGTGGAGGGAAAGCGTCGCGCCGGAAGTACGTCACGGCGCGGCGGACCGCATCTTCGGGTGATCCGTCGATCGCGTCATCTCACCCTCCCCGGAGTTCTAGGATTTTGGTGTCTGTTAAATTCCTGGTTTATAGGTAACTTAATGCTTTCTGTGTGAGTTGATTGAGAGCGTTTGAAACCGCCATGTCGTTCGTGAAATGAAGTGCTTCACTTAATAAACATTTATTGATCCTCTGCCAGGGTACTGGGAAGGAGACCCTACCTTCAAGGAGCTTCCAGGTCAGCTTCCAGTTAACGCTATGACACAAGTTCTAAAAAACAGATGAGCAAAGTGCTATTTGGCAAAAGGAGGAAATTATAAAGGGCATTGACGCTCTTTGTTGTCGTTTTTAAATATTCTCACAGCAGCCCCATGATACAGATTATTATCCTTGTTTCACAGGTAAAGAAATTGAGGCCCAGGGAAGATAAGTGCCTCTCTCCCAGACACACTGTTCCTAAATACCAGAGCAAGGCTTTGACTGCAAATCCAGTTCTCCAGGGGAGACCACTATTTTGGGACATATATTGTTATTTAATTATTTTAACAGGCTAAGAATCCCTAGATTTTTAGAATTAATTCCCCCTGCTATTCAGGGGAGTTGGCGGCAATCATTGTGGAGATATGGGGTGAGTGAGTTTTAAAGGAAACAGCTAAGAGGACTTAGATTTTATTACTGTATGAAAAGAACGTTAAGTTACAATCATTTAAAATTTTCACTCATTTACCTGAGGTAAATTAGTAATTATCAACAGCAGTTGGGCATGTGGTACTCTTAAGCATCTTCACCAATTTTATTAGCTGTAAAACTGAGAGGACAATCCCTGCCACTTTTAAGCCATTGCCTTCATTGCAGGGGAGCAGCAGCATACTCCTCTTTGAACAGTTCAGAGGTTGTATGAATTTACACTTTGCAGTGAGGAGGGCAATTCTACAATACCTTTAAAAATCCGATTTATACTGAGCACTCTATTAAGCGTTGGTTTGTTTGACTTTTGGTTGTTCAGCTTCCTTCAGAATATATTTTTATTTAGCTATGATATACAGATTTATTTTTTAGATTTCTACTTACTGGTAGAGGTAATGTGTGGCATTGCTGTGACATTGGTGTATTCTCCCTCTTTCTCACCCATTCAGTCAGAGACATCTTTGAGGATATATTACAGATTATACCATAGTTAACATTTTGAGGTGTACAAAGGTGACATTACTAATCTTGTTCTAGGATATACTATCTTCCTAGAGAGATAGACTTTCATATGAAGTGACTGAAGAATTATTTAACAGTAAAATATTAATAAGTACTTAGATATAGTATACATTATAAATGGTCAGATTTTAGGAGATTCTTGAAAGAAGTTTTGAAGCAGCATTACAAATGTCCATTCAAGGACTGGTGGCTGGTGCTGAACTATGACAAAGTTTTCACTGCTCTTTTCTTAAGAGTTGTTTTGGGGGGAATTCCCTGGTGGTCCAATGGTTAGGACTCAGCACTCTCACTGCTGGGGCCCCAGGTTCAATCCCTGGTTGGGGAACTAAAATCCCATAAGCCATGTGGCACGGCCAAATAAGTTGTTTTGTTCATTTTAATTAAGCATATCACCTTTTCTCAGATGGTTATAGAATGTGATAGTTGTTTTCTTTCTCTAGATGTCCTTACTTGGACAAACAAAAAATTGGCATGCTTTGCTGGGTCTCAAACATGTTGAAATTTCATTGGTCTGTGAAATCCAAAACTTTCCCAAATAGATTTGACATGGATTTATTGTTCCAAGAAGGAAGATGTTGCAAGTAACAGGAAGTATTATTATCTACATTAATATGGTGGCTTAAAGAACAAAGGATTTATTTCTCTCTTACATAATAGATCTGAGGTGAGAGGGCCAGATCAGAGGGCAGCTTTACTCCATATAGTCAGTCAGGACCTTGAGTTCCTTATATATAATTCCAATATGCTCCAGGTCCTTGACATTGCATGATTAGAGTTTATTGCCGGCTTCAGGCGGCAGGAAGGAAAGAGGTTATGTCTTAAGGCCTAAACAAGGAAGTAATACATGCCACTTTGCCTCTAATTCCATCAACAAAAACTTAATCGCAGGGCCAAACCCAATTACAGGGTACTGAGAAATGTAATATTGACATGTGTCCAGAAATAAGACAGGGCCAAACCCAATTACAAGGTACTGAGAAATGTAATATTGACATATGCCACAACTACTGAGCCTGCGCTCTGGAGCCTGTGAGCCACAACTACTGAGCCCGTGTGCCACAACTACTGAAGCCCACGCACCTAGAGCCCATGCTCCACAACGAGAGAAACCACTGCAATGAGAAGCCTGTGTACCACAACGAAGAGTAGTCCCTGCTCGCTGCAACTAGAGAAAGCCCGTGCTCAGCAACGAAGACCCAACACAGCCAAAAATAAAATAAATAAATTTATTTTTTAAAAAAGATAGTTATTTGCATAATTAGTTTATGTGACCATTTTGTACTATGAGCACACAAGATTTGCTGTGATGTTGCTAGTATTTTGAAATACATATAGACTTGCACTTGTAGGTGAACTGTTAGAATCACTTTTATTAACAGATTTAAAGAAAAAAATTTTATAATCATCAAAACGGGGTTTCAAGGGGTGACTTCAGTTAGACCTTAACTTACTTTGTATGCCTTTTTTAAGGGTAGGATTTTAAAATTAAAGTTTAACATATATTCATAAACCGTAAGTATAGCTTCATACATTTTTACAAAGTGAACATACAGGTGTAACCTCCACTAGATTAAGACATAGAGCAATATCAGCATCCCGGAAGCACCCCTCATACCCCCACCCCATAATGCTATCACCCCACCCCTATCAAAGATAATTTCTATTTGGAGCTCCATCAGCATATATTAGTTTTGTCTGCTTTAGGAACTTATATAAATGGAATTATGCATATATATTCATTTGTGGCTGGCTTTTTTGCTCAACGTTGTGTTTGTGAGATTATCAATATTGCTGCGTGCAACAATAGTTTGTTATTTCTAATGTCCGTATAGTACTCCATTATATGTGTGTATTAGTTGGGGTTCTCCAAAGAAACAGAAGGAATAGGATATAAATAGGAAGAGAATTATTATGAAGAATTGGCTCACGTGATTATGAGGGCTGAAAAGTCTCACAATCTGCTGTCTGCAAGCTAGAGACCCTGGAAAGCTGGTGGTATAATTCCAGTCCAAGTTCCAGATTCAGGGGAGCTGATGGTGAGAATCTCAGTCCAAGGGCGGAAGACCAATATCCCAGCTTAAGCAGCCAGGCAGGAAGCAGAAGGGGTGAATTCCTCCTTCCTGTGCCTTCTTGTTCTATTAAGGCCCTCCATGAACTGGATAATGCCCACCCACATTGGGGAGGGCAGTCTACTTTACTGAGTCCACCAGTTCAAATGCTAATCTCATCCAGAAACACCCCCACAGACACACCTAAAAATAATGTTTAATCTGGGTAGCCCTTGGCCCAGTCAAGTTGACACATAAAATTGACCATCACTATGGGTATTGAATAATTTATCCATTCTACTTTAGATGGATATTTGTGTTGTTTTTGAGTTTTAGATATTATGAATAAAGTTTTTATGAACATTCTTGAATCTGGTATATTGGAGCACATATATTTTGCATGTACATTGGAAATATACCTAGGAATGGAATTGTTGGATCTTAGGGTGTGGATAGAATCAGCTTTGGTAGATACTGCCAATGAGTTTTCTGAAGTGGTTGTACAATACTTTTGTTGTATGTGCCTTTTTTTTTTTTTTTTGTGGTACGCGGGCCTCTCACTGTTGTGGCCTCTCCCGTTGCGGAGCACAGGCTCCGGACGCGCAGGCTCAGCGGCCATGGCTCACGGGCCCAGCCGCTCCGCGACATGTGGGATCTTCCCGGACCGGGGCACGAACCCGTATCCCCTGCATCGGCAGGCGGACTCTCAACCACTGCACCACCAGGGAAGCCCTGTATGTGCCGTTTGATTCCAATATTAGTGAGAACTCTCATTTGCAAATAAGAGATGCCCAGCTTGAAGTAGTTTAGGTAAAATTGGGAATGTATTGCTTCGTGAAACAAAACTGTTGGACACTGTGGTGGCTTTAAAAACATGTCCGTAAGTTCCTTAATGTGACTTTCTTCCAACGACTAAGGCAAAGTGATAGTTTGTGATTTTTGGAGACTAGGTCATAAAAGCATTTTGATTTCCTCCTTGCTGTGTCTCTTGGATAGGGGAAATCAGCTGCCATGTCTTTAAGACACTCAAGCAGACTATGGAGAGGCACGTGTGGCAAGAAACAGGCTTCCTGGAAAAAGCCATAGAGGAATTGAGGCCTCCTGCCAACAGCCATGTGAGTGAGCCATTTAAAAGCAATCCTCTGGCCTCAGTCAAGCCTTCAAATAACTCCAGTCCTTGTTGACATCTGACTTCAATTACATTAGAAATTGTGAGCCAGAACTGTTTCGCTAAGCTACTTCTGAATTTCTGATCCACAGAAGCTGTGGGATAATAAATGTTATTTTAATTCATTAAGTTTGGGCATGTATTTTATACAGCAGTGTATAACCAATACAGAGAAGAAAAAATAGATGGAATGTCACGGAACTTCTCTCTTGTCTAATTCTACTTACCTGTTTTTTGGCTTCATTCTCTTGACTGACTCCTTCAAGAGGCTATGTCACATCTTGATAAACGGAGTCTCTGCCAGCTCCAATTATAAAATGCCAGAAAAGTCTTCGATTAGCATTGCAGTGACAGCCCCAAAATTTGTGCCTCCCCTTACAAAGTGAGGGGTGTCACTGGGAAATGTTTGTGCCTCCCCTTACAAAGTAAGGGGTGTCACGGGGAAATGTCTGTCCTGCTAAGAACTACGTTTCCTTGCATCTGAGTAAGCATATGCAAATACTTCTCATCAGTGGAAAGTGCATGAAAATGATGTGTATTACATCC